CATCACATCTCCCGCTAACATTACACAGCGCTGTAAGCCTAAGGTTAGTGGGACTCAAGCTAGCTGACCCATGTCAGGGAACCCTGGGCTTGAGCATCTACACTGCATTTTAACTCTAGGTTAAGGATTTTCTGACCCATGTTTGAACCTTGGGCTCTGGCATCCACACTGCAGTACTCAAACCGAAGTCAAAGTAACCCTATCCCAGAGTGCCTAACATCATCTGCCCCCAGTGTCAACATTCTAGTGCTATGAATGTGTCGTACTGTGGGAACACAGTACTGTACTGCCCTCCCTGTTTCCTAATTGTGATGGTGCTACTGATGGGATTTAGGTGCCCATAAGGAGTACATGAGTACATACCCTGTATAATTAGCTTATTTGGTGACTATCTCAGAAGAATGACTACAGTTTGACAAGACTTTATACTGAACTACCATCTAATGTGAGAATTGGGCTCTCCACCTCTAGGGTGAGTCACATTGGCAGGGAAATACCCATGTCTACCTGTTCTGAGGATAATTAGGACATCAATCTCCAGGGCTGTCAAACTATTAAAGTGGAACTTTACAATTCTTAATTTTTAAAATGGGATGCTTAATGAAGGTGTTTTTGTTCTTTGTTTTGGTTTGAAATTTGACATAAAATGTAAGCTTCAGAGGAAAAATACATAACCCCCCAGTGCGCAGTGAAGTGCATCCCCAGGGCTTGGGGTGTAGTGTGCTCCAGCACCTCCCGGGGATCCCTTATCTTTTTATAGAACCAAATGCTGGAGTCCTGGTTTCAGTCGTTGCCCAGATATAACTCTTATTTCCTTCAACAAGAATACTCGCATGAAAAAGCAAGCAGGATTCGATGATGTGTATTATCTTTATGGGGTTGAGAAACATCACCGATAGCTCACTCTCCTGGGCTAAAGAAAACCTTGCATTTCTCTAAATAGTATTCTTTCTTTACTTTTTGCCATCCAATATTCTTACTGCTTATTACTTGGCCAAAGTGCTTGGGGACAGAGGCAGGGTTGGTTCAAATTTATCAAATAGAAATTTAGCATGGATAGAAAAAACTGGTGTTTTTATTCAAATAAAGTATTGAACCCACAGTGATCCAAGTGGGAATGGTAAAGTCATGTAACTGAGTCACTCAGCTCCACTTCCTTTTATATGCTTCCTCCTTTTATATGCTTCACAAGTGCCAAAATCCAGGCTCTGTGTGAACTATGGCAACTGTATTTTAAACGTAAAAATTAATCCAGCTCAGAGCAGGATTAGCTGCCACTGAAGCATCTGAATACTAACCAGATGTTGCTACCCAGCTGGCAAAATTCCATCATCTTTTTAATTCCTTTTTTCTCCATTAAGCTGGGTTCGTTTTTTGCTTCAGTCAAAGCAGTATGTCCTGTGGATCCCTTATCCCTGCCTCTGCTACACCTTGGGAAGTAAGGATAAGGGATCCCTGGGAGGCTGCAGAGAGGTTTGGGGGCTGGCTCCCTCTCACTGTCCTCACAGCGCGCAGAGACTGGGTGCCCCTGCACATGAAGCCCCAGGGAGGATGGGTGGAGGGTGTGGGGAAAGAGAGCAGAGCGGGGACCAAGCGGGAGGTAGGGGGAACTGCAGGACTTCCCGCTCAGCACAGCAAGGGGAGGGATGACACCCAACATCCTGGGAGCCACCTTGCACCTGGCAACTTTGCTCCTTGTTCCAGGCAAGCTCTGCACAGCAGCGAAGAGGAGCCGGAGCTGATGCCACTGTAGTTGGAGCAGGAAGGGGGAGTACGCTCAGCCAGGCAGTAATGGTGCTTCCAGTTGCTGCCCTGGCTGCCTGCAGCGCTGCTTCTCTGGGAGCAGGAACTCTGGGATACTTCCGAAGGACTTCCAGAACCTCAATTAAGCTGGGGCTGTCTGCACACAGAAAAGCAATAGGGCTTGGACCCTAGGTCCAGCTTATTGCGAGCTCAGACTCTGCAGCCCTGCAGGGACCTGAGACCCTTGGTTCGAGACGTAGGTTAGCACAATTAGTGTGTGGACACACGGGGTCAGGCTTGAGCCTGGGCTTTCATTGGTGTGTAGTAGAGCCCTGCAGAGGGACTGGGATCCTGCAGGACCTGCTGCCGTAATAGCAGGAGCAGGTAAAATGTACTTTGTTGCAGGCAGAATTGGGTGGGCAAAAAAAACAAACTATGGTAACTTGTTAAATATATATATATATATATATATTTATTTATATTCACCAATTGTTGTTTTTATGGCTGTCAAGCAATTAAAAAAATTAATCACATGTTTAATCACACTGTTAAACAATAATAGAATACCATTTATTTAAATATTTTTGGATGTTTGCTACATTTCCAAATATTGATTTAAATTACAACGCAAGATACAAAGTGTACAGTACTCACTTTATATTTATTTTTGATTACAACTATTTGTACTGTAAAAAAACCCCAAAAGAAATAGTATTTTTCAATTCACCTAATACAAGTGCTGTGGCTCAATCTCTTTATCATGAAAGTTGAATTTACAAATGTAGCATTATGTACAAAAAAACTGCATTCAAAAATAAAACAATGTAAAATTTTAGAGTCTGCAAGTTCACTCACTTCTTGTTCAGCCAATCGCTCAGACAAACAAGTTTGTTAACATTTGCAGTTAATTTGCAGTTAACATTTGCAGTTAACATTTGCAGATAATGCTGCCCACTTCTTGTTTACAATGTCACCTGAAAGTGAGAACAGGCATTCTCATGGCACTGTTGTAGCCAGCATTGCAAGATATTTACATGCCAGATGCGCTAAAGATTCATATGTCCCTTCATGCTTCAATCACCATGCCAGGGGACATGCATCCACGCTGATGACAGGTTCTGCTCAATAACAGTCCAAAGTAGTACAGACCGACGCATGTTCATTTTCATTATCTGAGTCAGATGCCACCAGCAGAAGGTTGATTTTCTTTTTTGGTGGTTCGGGTTTCCGCGTTGGAGTGTTGTTCTTTTAAGACTTCTGAAAGCATTCTCCACACTTCGTCCCTCTCATATTTTGGAAGGCACTTCAGATTCTTAAACCTTGGATTGAGTGCTGTAGCTGTCTTCAGAAATCTCACATTGGTACCTTCTTTGCGTTTTGTGAAATCTTCAGTGAAAGTGTTCTTAAAATGAACAACATACTGGGTCATCATCCAAGACTGCTATAACATGAAATATATGGCAGAATTCGGGTAAAACAGAGCAGGGGACATACAATGCTCCCACAAGGAGTTCAGTTGCAAATTAAATTAATGCATTATTTTTTTAACGAGTTTCATTAGCATGGAAGCATGTCCTCTGGAATGGTGGTTGTAAGAAAACTTGTTTGTCTTAGCAATTGGCTGAGCAAGAAGTAGGACAGCATGGACTTGTAGGCTCTAAAGTTTTACATTGTTTTGTTTTTGAGTGCAGTTATGTAACAAAAAAATCTATATTTGTAATTTGCACTTTCACGACAGAGTTTGCACTATAGTACTTGTATGAGGTGAATTGAAAAATACTATTTCTTCTGTTTATCATTTTTTCAGTGCAAATATTTGTAATCTAAACTAATATACACTTTGATTTCAATTGCAACACAGAATACATTATATATGAAAATGTAAAAAAAAATCCAAAATATTTAATAAATTCCAGTCGGTAGTCTATTGTTTAACAGCGCTATTAAAACTGATTAATCATGATTAATTTTTTTTAATTAATCGTGTGAGTTAACTGCAATTATTCGACAGCCATAGTTTTGTTTGTTTTAGTAGCATGGGGGAATCTGTCTCTTTTGTGGGATTTGCAGGATCTAAGTTTTTGCAGGTGGAGGTGGGATAAAAATGCAAGAAACAATACTGGAGTGAGTGGGAGTGGGTATTGCGGAGCAGGATGGATGTGGGTTTAAAAAAATAGTCCGTTGCAGGACTCTACTTTGTAGTCATCCCTCAGAGAGGTTGCATGCAATCCCAGCCCATAATAATACATAACCTTTTTTGTTAAGTATGATAGATCCCATAGATACTTACTTAATTCAATAACATTTTGTCCAAGATGTTGCAGGAAATTGCCGTATTTGTTCCACTGAAATGTACAGCAAAGGCAGAAAGTGAGGGGGAGGAGGAGAGAATAAAATGTGGGCCAATATGTTGCATGTTGTGCAGCTTCTATTCATTTTTATTGTGTTAATGAAAATTTATCATATAAGTTTTAGATCTCGCTATTGAATGGGGGTTTAATTTGCTTTAACATTTCTTTGTAAGGCAAAGCTGGCATTTTTAAACCCAGTCACTGAATTCTCTGCTAAAGCCACTAAATTTGGAATTGCATGTCAGTGAACTCTGTTTGCATTATTACGTGATGGGGTAATATCTTTTCTGGACCAACTTCTGTCTTTAAGAAGAGCTCTGTGTAGCTCAAAAACTCATCTCCCCCACCAACAGAAGTTGTTCTAGTAAAAGATATGACCTCACCGACCTTGTCTCTCTAATATCCTGGGACGACCGTAGCTACAACAACACTGCATACATTACATGATGACTATTGAGACTGTTTGAAAATATTACAAATAGAAATAACAGAATCTGAAAGTTATTTAAAGCGTTTAAACATTTTCTCAGTAATGTTGTTACTAGCAGCTCTTGTGCTTGTAGCTACTGCTTAGTTGAGAGGGTGAGGGTTGGTGAAACAGTAACAAGTTCTACAGCTTGTGTTGTAGAAAGTATAGGCCACCAAACATATGGAGGGAAATTTCTTTCATTGGACTTTATCTGGATCAGACTGCATATTTGGTTATTTAAAATTGGAATTAGACAAAATTAATGTGAATTTTATTAAGGATGTTGTCAAGAATGTGTGACTTCTATTCATGGGCAGTTCTCTGTGACGAAAAGGAGGAACATACCAATTCACAAGCTATTGAATATTTCACTTCAGATAACATATAATATCCTCTTTTACTTCAATTTCAAGTAATAAGCATTCGTGGATTTTTAGGTGGCAGGAAAAGAAACATTCCATTCAGGCGTCAACTCATGCAGATTGATCAACCTGTCCCTCCTTCAGGAGTCAGCACTTATCCAATTCCTCAGCCAGATGACCCCTATGTTGCAGATCTTCTTCAAGTGGCTGATAACAGGTGACTTAAAGATTTTTTTCAAAATGTTGAAATGTTGGTAATAAATATTTGCTGTTGTAACAATATTTTTCTCATCTCTCTTTAATCTTTGACATGATATAGCATTTCATGTCTCATTGCTAAGAAGTTTTGCAGCACCAATCACACATTCACTTGATTTGCTACTCTATAGCCCTTCTAAATTTTTTTGCCAAGAAGAACATCTAAGTGTGTGAAGATTCAGTCATTCATGTATTTCTGTGGTAATGACACCAGAGCAATCAAGTGATTTCTCTCGGAAAAGAAATACATATTCTTTAAGAACAGTCTATTTTTTACACTGAATATCATTTTTATTGACCGACAGTGCTCTCAATATGGAATAAAGATTACATTACGTCATTCTTAATTTCTGTGTATGTCATAAGAATGGCAATATTGGATCAGAGCAATGGTCCAACTAGACCTGTCTTCCAACAGTGGCCAATGCCAGGTGTTTCAGAGGGAAAGAACAGAAAAGGTAATCATCAAATGATCCATCCCCTGTCTCCCTTTCCTAGCTTCTGGCAAACAGAGCCTAGGGATACCATTCCCGCCCATCCTGGCTAATAGCCATTGATGGACCTATCATCCATGAATTTATTTAGTTCTTTTTGAACTCTCTTATAGTCTTGGCCTTCACAACATCCTCTGGCAAGGAGTTCCACAGGTTGACTGTGTGTTGTGTGAAGAAATACTTGATTTTGTTAGGTTTAAACCTGCTGCCTATTAATTTAATTTGGTGACCTCTAGTTCTTGTGTTATGAGAAGGAGTAAATAACACTTCCTTATTTGCTTTCTCCGCACCAGTCATGATTTTATAGACCTCTATCTTATTCCCCCCCGTCATCTCTTTTCCAAGCTGAAAAGTCCCAGTTTTATTAATCTCTCCTCATACGGAAGCCATTCCATACCCCCGATCATTTTTGTTGCCCTTTTCTGTACCTTTTACAATTCTAATATATCTTTTTTGAGATGGGGCAACAAGGTCTGCACGCAATATTCAAGATGTGGGCGTAGCATGGATTTATATAGAGGCAATATGATATTTTCTGTCTTATCTGATTAATGCTATAAATGTATAACACACTAGCAATGGAGATTTAAGAATAGCTTATTGTCTTAAAGCATTTCTCTTCAGATTCTAATATGGTACCTTAAATGAATTTTAGTTCAAATACTGTGAATTGAAGCCAAGAGGGCAGAGTTTTGAGGAGAAGGTGTCTCATCTTAGGTGTTTGTCTATATATATATATATTTTTTTTTTCCCCTTTTTCAGTTATGTATTAAGAATATTTGTTTGTCCTGGGAACTTGAACTTGTATGAGGCTCTAGTAATTTAAAACAATTTTTTCTCTGATATCTTCCTGGTTTTCTTTTATTAAAGCTCATCTACTTTTCATACTGAAGCCTCTGTACTTATATTATGCATGGCTGTAACGCTTCTGTTTAGTCCAATGTATCTCTTGCGGGGGCAAGGAGCAAATATTTATAGAAAACTGTTGAAACTCTATCTCACTAGAAGAAAAGGAGTACTTGTGGCACCTTAGAGACCAACCAATTTATTTGAGCATGAGCTTTCGTGAGCTACAGCTCACTTCATCAGATGCATACCGTGGAAACTGCAGCAGACTTTATATATACACAGAGAATATGAAACAATACCTCCTCCCACCCCACTGTCCTGCTGGTAATAGCTTATCTAAAGTGATCATCAGGTGGGCCATTTCCAGCACAAATCCAGGTGTATATATAAAGTCTGCTGCAGTTTCCACGGTATGCATCTGATGAAGTGAGCTGTAGCTCACGAAAGCTCATGCTCAAATAAATTGGTTAGTCTCTAAGGTGCCACAAGTACTCCTTTTCTTTTTGCGAATACAGACTAACACGGCTGTTACTCTGAAACCTATCTCACTAGAATATGTTTGGCTTCATTTAGTAATACAACACAATCTGAACATATGCACTATATTGTAAATATATTTCAGAATTCATGAACTTCAGTTGGAAGTAGCCGAATTGCAAGAAAAGCTGGAGATATCTGAACGTGGGGTGAAAAATTATAGCAAACAGGTAGAATAAACACTTCAAGATTTTTTTGTTTTGTTTTGCCACAGTAACACTGGAATAGTCTGTGTATAATTTGTATGTTTACATTACTGGAAAAGCATTAAGCTTTAAATATGGTCAGAGTGAGTTCCATAAATTAGTAATATTATTCTACCCCTATTCTATACTGTGTTGCTTTTATACTTCTGGATGAAATTGCTAATGCAAAGATTTTTTCTTAAAGATGTTTTCCTACTGCTTATGTTCTGCTTGGATCAATGATTCCATTAAATAACATATACTTAATGCGTTTTAAATTGAGGTTTTCATGTATGTATACAAGCACAAATCATTTCAGGATCACTTTGATGTACAAATACATCAAAGATAATTTTTTTGTTAAGTTTGGATTACATACATCTATTTGAAAATGATTTTTAAAAAAGTTTATCCTAACCAGATTCAAATATCTTTGCAGTTTCTTAGTCCATATGTGGTTTTTTAGATTCCTGTTTTGGACTAAAGTACCAACTTTAGACTTGCACTCTGCATATGTGGAGAGATAGGTAGGATATCTTTTACATAAATAATATCGGCTTTTTAAACATATGTAAATAAAAAAAGAAAGGTGATTATACTAAATGACAAAATATTGACTTAGTTTAAATTAATGGGGAACTGATGCTTTAAAAAAATCTCAGGAGCAGAGTATATGTACAGACTTAAAATTACTAATATTTTGAAACCAAATAGTTTAATAACATCTACTACTCTGAGTCTTGGTTATTAAGATTTTAGTTTTCTCATCCAAAAGTGGATTTCTTCTAAAACTGATGAATTCTTGATAATTTTTTAGGGTAAATTTTAATCTTTTCTTGGAGTTCTACCTTCACCATGTTTTCTCTGACAGTGAAAAAACATGTGGCCTTGTTCCTCCCCCACTAGCCTCGATTCCCTCTCTCTCTCTCTCTCTCCCTTCCCCTCCCCCACAAAGCCTCTTTTCAGAGAAAGCCTTGCGAATGTAAACCAGTTAAAATAGCTTGCTAGGGCTGATAGTTTGTCACTGATTCTCCTCCTCCACCCAAAAAAATTCTTGTGCTGTTCATAGCCCACCAAACAGCTACCCACAGCTGATTTTTGTGATTCATGAAACCCACAGCTATGCCTGCTTTAATTTTTAGTGGGGTGGGGAAGATCCCCAGATATTTTTGTAGCTCTGAAGGGACGGAAAGGTCTGTTGTTGATTGTGGTAGGGCTGCTGAAAGCTGCCTTTCAGCTGTCTGCTGTTAAGTCAACTCTTCTGTTGAGGAGTCAGTGTGACCTCAGGCCACAAGAAGTAGCTCATTAGTGTGAGATACTTAGATCTAGTCATTTGTGCTTGGGTCTGGGAGCAGGGGAAGTTCGTATTCCACACTGACTTGCTCTCTGCCTCAGTTGCTCTGTTTCTAAAATGGAGGTAATAATCCTAACCTTCCCCACAATGGTAGTCATGTGATTATCACTAGTTTGAAAAGCACCACTTAAGTGCCATGTATAATATTAGAAAGGGAGCTGAGGGAGGACCTTGAGGAGACCGTGGATAGCATGGTGGAATATGTAGGACAGAGAATACTTGGGGTATAGAGAGGTCGGTAGAGACAGTGTAACTCAGGAAGAAATAAGGCAGTGGACAACAAAATGGGAGCAAATGTGAAAAAGAGGAAGATAGATAGATGTTGCCTTCCAAAGAGAGAATGATCAAAGACAGAAATGAGAACAAAATGATGTGGAGATGGAAGTAAAGAACCAATAAGGAAAGGGAAGAAGCAAAAAAGCACAGATATTAAGTTAAATTAATTTTATGTATTGTGCTTCCCTGGAGACTGAAAATTTTTAGGGAAAATGATGGGATTTTGAGAGCTTAAGTTACATTAATATCGTTGACTAGTTGGGGTTTTCTAGTTAAATTGGAGAAAAGACAGAGAAAATCACCTGGTCTGTATGTACCATTCTTTATGAACGAGAGCCCTAGCAGCCCCTGTCCCTACAATATATGGAGAATTGTCCCTTAATATATGTTTTTAATGCTCTCTGTGCACATTATCCATCATAATCATCTGGTCTTCACTTTTACCACAGCAGAGAAGTTTGGTGTTAGCCTGAAAATTTGAAGAGAGGGATACAAAAGTCATTCTAATGGTCCTTCCCAAAATTCTAATGCCAGTCCTGTGCAGTAATGTGATGTGATTATTGCGGTGGAAGAGTAATAGCGAAATTGTTTCTCAGGCCCTCCCCAAAATGCAAGGGCTCTCATTGCATACAGTCATAAATGACAGAAACATCACACTGGAGTCTGACACTTTTTCTGATACTTTGTCCAATTTAACTTCCCTGATAACTCTGAATAACTCTTAAAGGAGTTTATCTCCAGCTGAAACCGAGGTATTTTCAGTCTGTCGTGAAATGCTAGCAAAACTGTATCCAGCTTCTCCAGAGACCTTCTTTGTCTTTGATTTAAAGGTAGTTAAAGAGGAATAGAAGTTTCAATCTACAGGTGATGATTGCTTGTTCTTAGGAGATTCTTGTAGGCATGTGTTTTTAATTTGAATTTTCTTGTGGGTCACAAACAAATATCACCTGTAACAGTACTTAAGGAGGTGATGGTGAGCTCCTTTCTCCCTTGTATTGAGAGCTCTAGCCTTAGGCTGTAAACAAAGAAGGCAGGCCGAAGATCCAGGGACCGAAATATCCACTGCCTTTCCTACAACCACTTGCTTCACCTCCTGCCCAGACCATGATCCAGCCAACCCAGTCCCTTAATTGTCTTTCCTTTGGGCACGATGCAGCTTAAACAGATAAAATAACTCCCTTCCCTCAGGTGCAAAGGTACACCAATTCATGGCTGTTTCAAAAGGCATCTCCCTAAAAGCAGTCTTTTTTCCTATTGAGTATATTCCTGGATTTCTTGCTACTCCTTATAATCAGGTACTTCCCAGTGCTTTTGGTTGGTCTTGCATGAGTCCCAGCAGCTGATTTTCTTTTGCTGTTCCTACCTTCCAGGCTAGTTGTCTGGAGAGTTAGAGATGTAGCTGTCTTTGTTCTGGATTTCTTGTACATTGCCTACCTGCATAGGGGCCTGACCAGGAATTCTGGTCTTTTTCCAGTCTTTAGATGAGTATTGCATCCAGTCACACCAACTGTGACCTTTTCATACTAGTGCACCAAACGTGAGAATGTCCCATGTCAAAGTCACATCTTCCCTTTGCCACAGCATTTTTCTTCCTTCCTAGTTTGTTTTTCAAAATATTCAAGACAAGGTCGGTAATTCAAATGATCTTACCCCTTACTTTATTTTTTGGTCAGGTAAGATTGTATAAAATGCTTTGTTAGAATTTGAATTTAGTTTAGTTTAGAACAAAGTACTGGGCATCTTAAAATCTTTTCATATTGAAACTCTGTTCTTCTGTTATTCCAAGCTGAGATATCAGAGATTCTTCCCCAAATAGCTTTGGAAACATCAGTTTCCAATACCAGATTGGGTAAAAGGAAGGACGGAAAGAACAGTGTTAAGTCTGACTTTTACAAAGTAAAATCCTTTGACATTCTCTGGTTTTAAAATAATTTCTAAACTCTGATCTTAATGCATTTTCCTCTGAGACAAGCAAATCTGGGTATCTGTAAAACAAAGTGGACAGTACCTACAGGAGCACCAGAAGTAAATGCATCAGTGACCTTAGCAAGCTTGCTCCATTGCCTGAAGCATTGACTCGACCACCTGACATAATCAAATTATAACCTCTTTTCTTTCCCTAAGGAATGTGCAGGATATTAGAGGTGACAAAAATCCTTCATTATCCAAATAAGCATAATGTTACTGCAATCTGTTTATGCCTGTTGTGTGGCTGCAATGTTGATAACTTGCACTCATGCATAAAAACATTCCTCATTTGGTTAAAGCCAGTGGCTCTCAACCTTTCCAGACTATTGTACCCCGGCCCTTTCAGGAGTCTGATTTCTCTTGTGTACCCCAAGTTTCACCGTACTTAAAAACTATTTGCTTACAAAATCAGCCATAGAAATACAGAAGTGTCAGAGCACACTATTACTGAAAAAATTGCTTACTTTCTCATTTTTCCATATAATTATAAAATAAATAGTTTGGAATATAAATTTTGTACTTCCATTTCAGTGTATAGTACAGTATAAGCAAGTCATTGTCTGCCTGAAATTTTAGTTTTTACTGACTTTGCTAGTGCTTTTTATGTAGATTGTTGTAAAAGTGTGCAAATATCTAGATGAGTTGATGTACCCTGTGGAAGACCGCTGCATTACCCCCAGAGATATATGTACCCCTAGTTGAGAACTACTGGTTTAAGCAATGCTGCTTACAGTTGACTGATGAAGCACATTTGATGCAAAGTATTGGTTAAGGGTACCCTTTGTACGCGTTAGCTGGCACTATGGTAGTATGCCTGAGAAAGCACGTTGGCACATGAATAAGCCACATTATGGAATACCAATACTTAGATGTTACACTTTTGAATCTGTTTAGTAAGGTTTTTTTACTTTTTTTTTTAAATGAGAATGTGCTTGTGGAAAACATTTGCCATTGGGAATACACTTGAAAAACACTTTTTTGCCAATTTATACATGTCAGTCATAATAACCATTAGTAACGAAGACATGATTGAACTCATGCTTTGGATTTTGAAAACATTTATATATTTTGCATTTTGAGTTCTTGAATTTCTGAGATCTGTGCCTTTGTTGTACTTTGCATATGCGATTTCTATTCCCTTTTTGTGCCTATTATTTACTCTTTTAAAGATATGTATTTGATCAGAATATTTTTTTCAAGCAACTTCTCAAATTTAATTTTTACCGCAGATTCATTTCTTTTAATTTTAAATGAACACAAACCACTCTGTAGTTTTTCTTGTACTGTTACCAAAAATAAATAAATAAATGGGGGAGTGGGATTATTGGTTTGGGCTGCAGATGGATAAGGTGGTGGAGCGGAGAATATTCTTTTAAAATATTGAACATTTTCAACTTAAAAGTGATAAATATAATAAAGTAAGCAGTGGCATTTTCCCAGCTAGGTCACTGCCTTTAATGTTCTGGAGATTTTAAATTTTCAGATTTCCTCTTACAGTATATCATCTAGTTGTATGTTTATTATTATTGTGACAAATAAAAGGCTAGCAACTTTATATTCAATCTATTTAATGTATACAAAAATAGTAGAGGTTTTCCAAGACTGGCCAGGAGATAAATAAGCACTTAAAAGGAATAAATATTTTCTCCCTGAAGGTTGAGCTGAGAGATAGAGAGATAGAACGTCTAGTACTAGCACTGGATGGTGGTCGCTCTCATGATGTTATATCTTTGGAATCCAGAAGTAAAAGTAACGAGAAGCTTATTGCCCATTTAAATTTGCAGGTAACACATTTATGCACATTAGTTTGTCAAGTTTAGAAATACTAGCAACCTATAAATTACTTGTAGCTCCTCTTTTTTTAAAAAGTATGTTTTATGTTAGAAACAAAATCAGCTTAAGATGCTTAATTTAAAATTGCATCATGTCTTTTGTTACCAGTTTATTTTTAAATGACTTAATGTTTGTTTAGAATAGTTTCAGTTTATAGCCCAAAGGTCTCGGTTTCTGACTAAAATATTTTGGTATGACATCTGTGTTTAGTAACTTTCATTTTGTTATGTTCAAACTGTAAAATTTCTGTATGATGTTTGGACTAATTTGAAAACAGTAAAGTTTTTGTTCGTTCCTTTATATTGTTTTCTGTGTGTGAGGGACTGAAACTGTACACTGAAAAGAGAAGTTACTTACAGTTAACTCTGATTCTTCAACTACATTGTCTTTGTAGATACCACATTGTCTTTGGCATCATAGGGTCAGATAATCTGGAAAAGTGGTGCCTTTGAGTCATACAAATGCCCCCTAAACGTTCACATGTTCATAGCATGTGTAGCAGGAGTATTAATCTGCAAAGGCAATTCTAAGTAGGAAGTAGAAATAAGTATCTCAAGAAAAATTTTAAAATTAAACCTAGCAACTTTAAATAGTAACTATTAATAGTTAAATAGTTAAAGAATGCTGAAAAATTGAGATTCTGAAATTGAAAATAAATGTGTTTCAAAAGTAAAAAATTGCTTACATTGTTTAACTGAAGATCAAAATTAATGAAGTGAGTAATTTAGGCTGCAATCCTGCAGACACTCATGAAAGTGGGTAATTTTGCTCATGTGAGTTGTCTCACTGAAGTCAATTTTATAAACCCTTTGTACTTATTTTAAAAAATGGTACTGAGGGATAAAACAAAAACAGCAGTAGACCTCTTAAAAGGAAGCATTTATTTTGTCTTAACTTGCATTATTTCCCCTTATTCATAATGTAATAGCACAGTGAGATAATATGGAGTGGAGATTGCAGCTCCTGCTTTATAGGACGACTCTAGCGAGGGAGCCCCCTAAGCCTGGGGAAATGAATGAGGGCATCTATATGGGGATATACATATCCCCATTTAATCTCCTCCCCCCATTTCTGCTGTGTTCCCTGATACTCCAGTTCCCCCATAACATAAAGGGAACCAATGGGTCATGCTTTGTTCCCTTTGTACTGCCAATCCCCTTTACTGCCCCCATCCCCCATGTCTCCTGTGGTCCACGGAACGCATTTCCCTAGCTACTAGCAATGCTTGTCTAAGGAGCCTCGGGGACTATTAGAGGGAGCACTGCTGATAACTATGTATGTAGTTAGCTTATATGACCCCCATTACTGTAATATCTGAGCACCTCAGAACATTTTGTTTTAATTATTCTCTCAACACCCTCGTGGACAATAGAAGTATCATTATCCCAGTTTACAGATGTGGAACTGAGGCACAGAGAAACTAAGGGTATGTTTCAACTTTGAGATGGGGGTGTGATTCCCAGCCTGAGGAGACGTACTCATGGTATCCTCATTGAGATAGCATGCTAAAAATGCTGTGGCAGCACGATGGGCTAGCCACCCTGAATACATGCCCATTGGAGACCCTACATACATACTTTGGGAAGCTAGTCCTTCCCACAGCTCATGTTGCCTTGGCTACGCTCTGTTTTTAGTATGCTAGCCTGATGAAGGCTAGCGCAAGTATGTCTCTTCAAGCTAGGAATCACACCCCTGTCTCCAAATGTAGATATACCTGAAGTGGTTTGCCCAAGGTCATGCACACAGGAAATCAAGGGCAGAGCAGTGAATCAAACCTGGGTCTCAAGAGTCCCAGGCTAATGCTCTGACCACTGGCCCATCCTTCCTCTCCAGGTAGGCAAATTCCCTCCCTAGGCTACAGGTGTCATGGGTGGCAGTTCAAGGAGGTCAGGAATGTGGGGGTAGTGATATCCCCTCAGTGCCTTTGGTGGGGGGAGAGGTATTGGGGTTGTCAAGGTACATAGTAGGAATGGGGAGAGGAGAGCAAGTGGGGACTTGTGAGGGACATAGATTCTCCATCCATTAATGCCCCCGAGGCTGTAGTAGGGGGGGAATATGTGGAGACATGGATGCTCACTCATTAATGTCCTTCAGAAATGGTGCGGGCTTGCAACCCCAATACTCCAGCTCCCTTAGCTTGGCTATACACTTCCCAGTTTTCTGATGTTTGTTTTTTATTACAATACTAAGGCCAGGTCTACACTACCACTTACTTCAGTATAATTTACGTGGCTCCGGGGTGTGAGTGACGTAAATTATACTGACCTAAGCACTGGTGTGGACAGTTCTATGTTGGCGGGAGAGTTTCTCCCACCAACATAGCTACCATCTCTCATGTAAGTGGATTTATTATGCTGATGGGAGAGCTCTCTCCTGTCACCATAGAGTGTCTTCACTGGCTATGTAGCGCTTCTATTGTAGACTAGCCCTAAGTTTCTTGTAAAGGTGATAGTGGGTCTTAATTCCACACTTCTTCGTTTCTCAGTATTTGGGTTCTGGGAATTAAATTCATGTTCTGGTAAAGCACAAGGAGCATAAGGCACAAGGCACTGTTGGGTGCCTACAACCTTAACTCCATGTTAATAATTTTTTTTATGTTAACTTTTATTATATTTTAAGAATAGGAAAAACTGCAATTTTTTACAAGGAGAGATGTAGTTTGTTTTTAATGTGTAAAGCAGGTACAGTGATTCAGAATTAGTGGAAGAGGTATTCTACTATCTTCTTTAATAATATTTGACATTTTTGTATTTAATATTACTGTTTTAATTATAAATACATCTTAGGTTGAATATCTTCAGCAAACAAATAGAGAGCTTGAGAATCGCATACAAGACCTTTTGGACACCAGACAAAATGTCACTAGTGAAGTGGTTCATTTAAGCAATAAAAATGAAGAACTTTGCCAAGAACTGAGTGAGATAGACCATTTGGCACAGCAATTGGAAAGACACAAAGAAATTGTGCTTGAGACTGCAGATAAGGAAATTGGGGAAGCTAAGGTAAGCAAATACTGTAATTTGCTATGTTGTTATGGATCTGATCCAACTCCCATTCAAGTCTGAGGAGTTGGATCTGCATTTAAAGGATACAAGGATTATTTTCCTACCACAGATCAAAACACTATGAAATGTACTTAGAATGTTGTATAGAATTTCTCATTGAAAGGTGACTATCCTTACACCATGATTAAATATATATTTTTGTTACTAGGGCATCACAAAGCTTTGTCTAGTACTATAAAATACTATAAAACTTTGTTTGGGTTCATCTCTTGGTGCTTTGTGTTTAAGGTTTAAGATTTTTTTCTCTGTTCTATTTAGAATGAGCAGGAAAATGCACAAAATAGACCAGCAAGCATGCTAATGGAAATGGGTTTATTTCTCTTATTTTGTCACTTTACTATTTTAGGCAAGACAATTATTTAAAGAGTAGTTAGCTTCTAGAAGGAAGAAGACTGTTTTAAAAAAAAAAATTCTGAGACCAAGAACTCCTGGGACAAGATAGATCTTTGTAACAATGATGATTGGTTTTGGAGGGTTCTGATCTGAGGAATCAAGCAATTAATCTCTATGTTCTAAGAGGAATATAAGTCTGTGTGCAGCAAATTTTAGACTTTTCCAGTACTTCTGTTCTTTATTCAATAAATAACATGGAAATCAAGCTCTCAATCAAGTAAGTGATGACTAGTAAATTCTTAGGTATTAAGTTCAGCTTATGTAGCATTTTACTGGGTATATGTACTTAGAATTTAGCAAAGTAGAAATCACTTTCTAAGTAAGTTGTATATGTCTCACAAAAATATATTGTACACAATATCAAGGATATTTGATTTTAAAGGAATTATAATTTTGAATACTTATTTTTTATTATGTTAACTTTGATTAATAGAAAGAGATTAAAAGAAAACATAGTGAAATACAGGATCTTGAAGAAACAATAACGAGATTTAAGTCAGTAAGTAAAACAACCTTTTCAAATTGAGGTTTCTTCAGGTAACTCCAATTAAGTTGTGATTTCTTTTTTTTCTGTTTATCATATCTTGTATAGAATATTTTAACATGCATTCATCCTTATGAGATAAATTGTTAAATTTACAGGAATGAAAAGATCTGTTAGCTCTTTTAAAATAGAAAATGTGTATAGGCATGAATATTTTCTATAATATCTAAGAACTTAAATAAAATAGCTTAGAGAGTACATTCCAAAGTTAAAAAGCTGAATGAGCCATCCTATGATTGTTGTAAATTTGAATAAACGAAAGAAAAAAATTCTGTAGACAAACAGTTTGGTTAAGCATTGTAGTTTTCTTTTTGTATTTGTTTCTACACATTGTATTACAAAGGACATTTCTGTGTAAAGTACAATCTTTTCCTTGAGGTTTCCTTGTTATAATTTCTCCTTGCCCAATGTCATAGTCCTTAGTTTGTACAGACGCTCCCCGGGTTACGCAATCGTTCCATTCCAGAACGCCTCGCATAACTCAAATTTTGCATAAGTGGGAAACTTATACCTCACTGTTACGCCAAAAAACCCAAAAACCTCCTATTTCTAGCTTATGGAACTTTTTCCGTAAGTGCGAATTTGCATAATTTGGGTCTTGCGTAACCTTGGGAGCATCTGTAATGGCATAATTATTTTCACCACACCCAAGCAGGACATCTCAGAGAATTTTTTGCATATAGAAACTGCTCAATCTCTTAATCAGGACTTCCAACGTTTTACCTAGCACTTGCTAGGTTGGAGACAAAGCTTAACAGCCCAGATGAAAAATACCTGCGTCCCCATGTCCTTTAAAGTGTGTCTCCTGTAGTTTAAAACAACACATCATGTAGTTTCAGAGTAGCAGCCATGTTAGTCTGTATCCGTAAAAAGAAAAGGAGTACTTGTGGCACCTTAGAGACTAACACATTTATTTGAGCATAAGCTTTCGTGAGCTACACGAAAGCTTATGCTCAAATAAATTTGTTAGTCTCTAAGGTGCCACAAGTACTCCTTTTCTTTTTACATCATGTAGTGGCACTGTGTAAGTATTGTATGAAAATGTTAAAATCAACTTTATATAAAATATTTCTTTAAAAAGCATTCAATTAGTAGGATGAGCTAATAATAGAAAAAATATGCACGAAACAGTATTTGACCAGATATAGAACTGGTTGAATACAACAAAATATTGTCATACAAATTATTTAATGCCAATTAAATTAATCAAATATTTTATATTTATGAAATACTGTTTGATCAGACCTGCTTACTAAGATCTCTTGCTTTAGTTGTATCTTCTTTCCTTTGCAGGTTCCTCTCCACTGTTTATTTTTAAATTATTTTTCCCTCTTAATATAGCAGCAGAATGAAACTGATCTGGTTCTTCTTAGGGCTTGTCTACACTTACCAATTCGTCTATTGATGCATCGGTCGTCAATTTAGCTGGACCCACTAAATCGACCGCTGATTGCTCTCCTGTCAACTCCTGTACTCCACTTAAACGAGAAGTGCCAGGGGAGTTGACGGGAGAGCTTCTCTGGTTAACATTGTGTAGTGTGGATCCTGCAGTAAGTAGATGTAAGTATGTCGACTTCAGCTATGTTATTCACATAGCTGAAGTTGCATAACTTAGATCGATCTCTCCCCGTAGTGTAGACAAGGCCTTAGTTTCATTGCTGACTGCAGGGTTCTGAATGCAGGATATAACATAATGCATTTTTTCTTTACACTTGATTATAGTAAAAAACTGGCACCAAAACAATACCTATTCATTAACACTTAAAATTTTGTACATGGGGTTCGTTAAACAGTAGCAACATATGATCATAATTAGAAAGTTAATAAAATTTGAAATTGTAATTAAAATACTTTGCTTAATTTTTACTTAGTGGTACTTTTACGAACCTACAGTACTAAATTTTTCAGTATTTTTATGTCAGGAGTTATGTTCGTGTCGGAGAGAAAAAGAGAGGCTGGCTGATGAACTCTTTGGAAAAGCAGATGAAAAACAAAATTTTGAACTATTGTTAAACCAGCTTGAGCAAGAGAAACAAAGGCTTTCAGAAAAAGTTGAAAACTTTGAAATTATAGGTAAATGTTTAAATATTGATTCTCTTAAATATATCTTTTATGTTGTTTTTTAAAAATAATAAAATCTTAAATATATTTGTCTGTAAGTGGTAATAACACTAAATCAGGATCCTGTTTATATTTGGAATAAAAATAATTGTATGAAGGCTTAAGGTTTTCCATCAAAATATTCCAGCACTGAAACTGTGCATGCATGATATAATTTACCTACAGCTGCATTTTTTTCTGCATGAGGGGTGTATAGAGTTCGATAGTGATTTTAGGCTTTATTTGTGCTAATCTTATTAACCGTGTAGATGGTACATGTCTGTCCTGAATAGTATACTCTAAGTGTTAATGCAAAATAAATTGTTATGGAACTGCAGTATACTGATGGTGGCTGTTGTTCTATTTATTTAATTTTTTGTGTGTGCATCTGTGTGTGTGATTTTGTTGCATACCTTTCTAGTTGTAATATATTAGAAATACTTCTAAAACTTCTAACTCGTATATAATAGGCAAATACATTTAACTCTAGTTTTGTCAATAATAAAATGTATTCTATCTTCATGATCCTATTTTGTTGTAATATTTAGTAATTGTTGTTGTAACTTGAGTGTGCATTCCTTAAAATAGTCTCTTCTTCATATATACACTAGTTTTGTTATTTCTTGGTTGCTTTTCTCTGCAGAACGAGAACTTGTCTTAGAAGTAGAGAGAATGAGGTTAGAATATGGTATAGCTTTTGGAGACAAGTCACCTTCTCGACTAGATGCATTTGTGAAGACTTTAGAAGAAGACAGGGATTACTATAAAAGAGAGCTAGAATATCTTCAAAAGATGATAAAACGAAGAGCTAGCCCATGCCGTAGATCTCCAGAAAAGGTAACGCTCCCTTTATTAATGAATGGTGGAAACAGCAATGTAGATCTGTTGCTGGAAATAAATCACTTCAATTCAAGAAGTGATAAAATATAATCTAAACATTAACTGCAGAAAATTATTTACCCTAATTGTCTTCTTAAATTATATTCGCACCATGAACAATAAGTAACTGTGAACCATTGTAGTAATTTTCCCTCTGTTGATACTTATACCTTCTTGTCAACTGTTGGGAATGGGGGATGTCCACCTTGATTGATTTGGCCTCGTTATCACTACAAAAAGTAGTTTTCCTTCTGTTGATATACACCCCTTCTTGTCAACTGTTGAGAATAGGCCACTTCCACCTTGATTGAATTGGCCTCATTCGCACTGACCCCCCACTTGGTAAGGCAACTCCCATCTTTTCATGTGCTGTAATATATATACTGTTTACTGTATTTTTCACTCTGTGCATCTGATGAAGTGGGTTTTAGCCCACAAAAGCTTATGCCCAAATAAATTTGTTAGTCTCTAAGGTGCCACAAGGACTCCTTGTTATTTTTGCTGATACAGACTAACATAGCTACCACTCTGAAATAGTAGACTTAATTTCCTTCTTTTACTCTTGACATTTTTTAAGTCTTCCATTATTGCTCAATCTGTAGAAAAAGATTTTTATTTCAAATTAAAGAGGAAAGAAGCAAGAGAGATCTAAGGGTATGTCTATCTGAGTATCTAAGGTACCCTGACATGTAGGTATGTCTATACAACAATTAAAAATCTACAGTTGGCCTGTGCCAGATGATTTGGGCTTGGGCTAAGGGGCTGTCTAATTGCAGTGTAGACTTTGGACTTGGACTGCAGCCCAAGTCCGAACGTCTACACCACAGTTAAACAGCCCTTTAGCCTGAGCCCCTTAGCCTGAGTCAGTTGTCTAAATTTCTATATAGACATACCCTACATGTTTTGTCAGGTTTTGGAAAAACTGTTCCTTGTTTACTGTAAATACCAAAGCATAGAAACCGAATCAGGATTGGGGCTCCATTTTGCTGACTTTTGCCTAGAAATATATATTTTACAGATGTTACTAATAATGTTATCTATTAAATATATATTTAGTATTTTCTGATTTACTTTGCAGAGTGAAAATGTGAAGTTGATCACGAGGGAAAGAGATGAACTACAATCTATGTTGGATAGATTTGAAAAACACATGATAGAAATTCAATCCAATGTCAAATTACTGACTGCGGAAAGAGACAAATTAAATGTCCTTTATGAACAAGTAAGAAATTAAGAGCATGATCTAGTTGCCATTAAATTCATTGACTAACACTTCATAGTACTGTTTATTTAAAAAAAAAAAAAAAAAAAAGCGGGGATTGAGGGATTTGGGGCCTCAACATGGTGGGATCCTAGGAGCATAGCCCAACCAAGCTATAACTACTGTAGTAGGACTGCAAATTTAGAATTATTTGTTAATTGGGTAATTCCTGATTTTATTGCTTTGTAATAAATTGGTAACTTCAAAGAAATTCTAGTAGTGGCTACTGTGTCTTCCTGAATTCAGTTAGGGTATTTGCTGTGCAGATCTAATTTCTATCTAACTTAGATACTACAGTGAGGAGTGTTGTAGAAAATCTTAAATTAGGTAGATAGGAGTTAAAATTGTAATCTGCTTTATTAGTGTCACAAGTTAATATGTAAACTAAGGCTATGTCTATACTTCTCTGTTGTTCGGACTACAGGGGTGTGAACAGCAGTGCACACCAAAGTTCTGTGCTGTAACTCCCCTGTGTAGGCGCCGTGGGAGCAAACTGAAAGGTTCCCAATCTTGTTAGCATCATAGTTCTCAAACAGGACTATGTTAACGTGAATTAGGAACCTTTTAGTTCGTGCCAGCCGAGTCCACATGAGGAAATTAGAACACAGCACTTTTGGTGCGCACTGCTGTTCATGCCCTGTATAGTCCAAACTGCAGGGCAGTGTAGACAAGCCTGAAGTCACCTAATATTTTAAATCCAGTTTTACAGCTTTAGCTGTTTTATAGAATCATACGACTGGAAGGGACCTTGAGAGGTCATCTAGTCCAGTTCCCTGCATTCATGGCAGGACTAAGTATTGTCTAGACCATTCCTGACAGGTATTTGTCTAACCTGCTCTTAAAAATCTCCAATGATGGAGATTCCACAACCTCTCTAGGCAATTTATTCCGGTGCTTAACCACCCTGACAGTTAGGAAGTTTTACCTAATGTCCAACCTAAACCTCGCTTGCTGCAATTTAAGCCTATTGCTTCTTGTCCTATCCTCAGAGGTTAAGAAGAGCAATTCTTCTCCCTCCTCCTTGTAACAACCTTTTATGTACTTTAAAACTGTTATCATGTCCCCTCTCAGTCTTCTCTTCTCCAGACTAAACAAACACAATTTTTTCAATCTTCCCTCATAGGTCATGTTGTCTAGACCTTTAATCATTTTTGTTGCTCTTCTCTGGACTTTCTCCAATTTGTCCACATCTTTCCTGAAATATGGCGCCCAGAACTGGACACAAAAATCCAGTTGTGGCCTAATCAGCGCGGAGTAGAGCGGAAGAATTACTTCTCATGTCTTGCTTACAACACTGGTGCTAATACATCCCAGAATGATGTTCGCTTTTTTTGCAACAGTGTTACACTGTTGACTCATATTTATGCTATGGTACTCTATGGGTTAGCATCCTCAAAAGAATGCTAACTTTAGAATCTTATGCCCTCAAATATATGACCTTTTAGGAAATTTTTGAAGCGACATATATTTTAGAACACTTTCAAATAATGCTTCTACAGTTACATATAGTATATTGTAACTTCTAATTCACAACTCTTTTCCTTTTGAAAAGTAATTAGTTAAGATGTACATACTGTACTTGGAATTTGGAAATAGAAAGGTTAGGAAGATAAGGGAGAGGTAGAATTCATGAGAAGGGGATGGGAGGATAGAAGCAGGAAAGGAAGGAGTAGGAAGTAATGAATGAGAATAGAAGGGGGTTGGACGTAAGGAAGAAGTAAGAAAGAAAAAGCATTAAGTGTATGTTGGGAAAATCAAGAATTCTTTGCCTTTGTACGACTTAAGGAGCATTTTCTGGATGTCTAGGAAACAACTAGAAAGAAATGCAGTATATCTAGTGTAATCAGAATGCTAAAAATCAGTTTGTCATTTTTCTTAACATTATATACAATGTACTATTTTGAATGTATGACTACTACTAAGCAGTACTCTTTTAAAGTCTCAGGATGAATTAAATAGGTTAAGAAGAGAGGCAAAGCATACTTTAGTTTCTCAAAGTCATGTGGAAGAGGAAAGAGACATTGCATTAGCTGACTTCAGAAGAATGATGGCAGAAAAAGAAAGTCTAAAGGAGAAACTAAAGGTGAGCATGTGTTAATATAAATTAATGCCTTTTATGTTAATCTGAGAATATCTACTCTTATGAATTCTGAAAGGGACTTATAATTTGTTGCTTATTTATGCAGTCATAATTATAACTAAGAGCATACAACTTCAGTTTTCTTCTCTACTGAACACCACCACTAGATCGCTTGTATAGTCTGTGCAGAATTAATGAGCTTTCTGGAAATTCAACATTTTAAAATATTGCGCTTGTAAAATGATCATCTTATACATCAAAGAATGCATTTGTCAGGAGAAACTATGCATAGGATCAGTATGTATCTGTGCAATAAATATATGGATATAATGTTTCAATTACTCTTGCATGTTTCATTTTATGGGTGCAAAAAAAGCATTAAACCTATGCTCAGTAATGTTGGGGGGGTTTTTTGTTTTTTTTTGTTAAGCCTCAAGTTATTTTAAGCACTGGACATGGAAATACAGCTACAAAAGCAGTGTCGCAGAAGGGGCTCTGTAAATACTAGATATTAAAAACTGCTCCACAGATATGTAAATAAAGTATATCCTTTCTGGTATTTTATTTGCTAGCTTGGGGCTAAACATTAGAGCCGATTTAATCATTTAATGTCTAGTGTTTAGATTCACTGTAAACATTCTGAAGCTTCAGTTCATTATAATGTTTTGTTTACTTCAATATGATATTCTTTGTGTGTTTTGCCTTGCAACCTGTCACTATGAACACCAAAAGTGAAATCTTGGCCCCATTGACGCCAATAGGAGTTTTACCATTGACTTAAATAGAACCAGGATTTCACTTCTATGTGGAAACATTTCTAACTTGATATTATACTTAGAGCTAAGGGGTTTTTTTTTTTTGTTTTTTTGGTTTTTTTTGAGTAATTGTTCATATAGATTCCAATCTTGGTGCAAGACTGGAATCTTTAAAATGGCAGTGTCTGGGAGGTTGGCCTGCACTTTGCATGACCCTCCTGCTTCCCACAGCGGAAGAGACAAAGGATGGTACGACTACAACCCATGCTTGGTTCTTTCTTATCACCTGTTGCTGCAAGACAGAATCCTATGGTATCCTTGTTCCTTGCTTAGCAAGAAACCAGTTAGTCTGCAAAGTTTTCAATTTTTGGTGGTTAAACTTTTTGATAGGTTTTCTTTGCCTCTTGGCTTTTTATTTATCTCAGGTAAAGAGCAATGACCGGTAGAGCCCTGCAAATATGTGGATTTCTGTTTTATATCCATGGACCATGTTTGCGGATCGATGCGGATACAACTTTTTGTATCCGCACAGGGTTCTAAATACAGGAGCTCAAAGGCAGGGAAGCAGCTGTCTGTAGTTCATAGCCTGTGAGGCTGCTTCCCCACCTTCCAGCCCTATATTCCCTCTCTCCCTGTATACAGAGAAAGGGGAGGTGGATGGATCAAGACAGGCAGGAAAATCCCCTATGCTCCTATCTGTAGTTTAAGCAGCCAAGCAATGTAGGAAACTTCTCCCAACTTCATTGTCATATCAGGTCAATTGGAGAGGGAGGCAGCTGCTTCTGCAAAGTAAGTCAGTCTGGCTTCCTGACTTTGCAGAAGCAGCTGTCTCCCTCTCCAACTGACCTGTTATGGCACAAATTAATCACTGGCTGGGTAACTGGAGAACACCCCTCTTCTGCTCCCCTAACCCTTGCACCTCCCTCCTGTGCCCACCTGGGAAAACTGACCTGAGTCACAGAATGCCTGCTGTCATTGCTCCTCTTTCCCTCCCCCACCTCTCCCTCAGCCCCCTAGGGGGCTGCAGAGGATGATCTGCCAAGCCAATAGGTGCCAGGGCTGAAATAAGGCATTGGTTGGCGGCCAGAGAGCATCTACACACACACACACACACACGAATCATGGAGTGCCTGTTGTTGCTCTCCCCCGCCCCCACAGGCCCCTGGAGATACTGGAGAGAGAGAAGCTGAATGCCAGAGCCATAGCTGAGGTTTGACGTCAGAAGTTGGAGGGAAGGGAGGCTGGAGCCAGAGTGGGTAGTAGGTGGAGTAGATATGGAAACAAGTCTGGAGTAGGGCCTGGAAGCAGGCTGGAGCAGGACAAGTGCAGCTGTGGGCATAGTACATGTTGAGGAACTGCAGATCTGCTCTGGGTGCCAGGCTTATGAGCAGGGTTGCTAAACCAGCAGCCAGTCAGGTGATTTGGCTACTCTGTCAGTTCCAAGGCAGTGCAGCTAGACTCATTGGTTGCCTAGCAGTGAAGTTAGTCAGGGAGCAGGCCAGTGGTTGGTCTGACCCCTGACAGCACCCCCTTCATTCAGGGTCACTTCCTAGGAATGCTGGGGCTGTGTTTCTTTGGTTAGGCAGGAAGGCACACAGGAGGTCTGGGATCTGGACATGTTCCACAGGTTCTTGTCTGCTCCTCCAGGACTTATCCCTCCCAGTCAATCAGATACTGGAGTCTTCTGCAGACTCAGTGAGAGTCCAGAATCTGCTGGTTCACATGTTCCTGTTGGCCCTTCTCAATTATTGACGGAGGAGGAGGAGTGTAGCGCGGGCAGAAATTCTGGATAAAGGTTTCAAGAGGGAGATGTAGAACATGGGGTGGATCTGAAGCAATTCTGGCAGCTGTAATCGAAAGATTACTTGGTTAAGTTGTTCTGTGTTCTCAAATGGCCACAAGTACTTGTGGTCCAGCTTCATGGATGGACGGCTGTATTGCAGGTTTTGGGCAGTCAATCAAACCCTATCCCCTTTCATGAGATTGGGGGTTGGCTGATGGTATCAGCTGGCTAATGGCATGGTGCTTGTACACTGTCTTAGCCTCTTTTAACTGGTGCCTGAATTCTTGATGTACTTTGTTAATGTGCATAGTAAGGTCAGCGATGGCTGTTAAGGGTAAGGCAAGGGGATTTCAGGGTGCTGCCAAAGGTGGAACCCATAATTTATTAAGTGGGGGTCTTCTGAGGTGCAGTATGGGTGGACTTGAAGGTGAATTCAACATGGGGAATGAATGCCAACCAGTCATCCTGGTAGTAATTTAGGAAGCAGCTTAGGTACTGCTCGAGGACTTGATTGACTCTCTCTGCCTGACTGTTGGTACTAGGGTAGTAAACGGTTGAGGTACAAGGTTGAATGGTCAGGAGGCACAGAAATTTCCATCAAAAGCAGGCAATAAACTGTGACCCCCGGTCAGATACTATGCTTGTGGGCAACCCATGAAAGTGAAAGTTATTGTCTTCAAACAGATGGGCTATTTTGTGGGCAGTGGGGAGGCTGTGACACAGTATAAAATGTGCCATCTTTGTCAGGAGATCAATGACCACTAGAATCCTTGGGAGGGCGGATGTTCCATGATGAAGTCCATCAACACAATGGCCCAAGACTGAGGCGGAATGGAAAGGGCTGAAGAGTAGTTTCACGTGGGATTTTGGTCTGGGCACAGAGGTTACAGGACCAGATATAAGTTGCTGTTGAAGTGTGCAGGGCCAGCCACCAGAAACTCCTTGAGGGCTTGGGTGTTGAATTGACCAAAGTGACCTGCCAGAAGAGGATCATGACTGATTTGTAGAACTTGCAGCCTGGGTGAACCACTGGGTATGTAGATGTGCCCCTTATGATACAGAAAGGCAATCTGGGTGGTAGCATTGTCCCGGGCTTCGTGGATCTGAATTGTGAAGGGATCGTTAGGCAGCAGAGAACACATGGAGGGTAGCAGATTATGGACAGTGGTACTCAAAATGAAATTTGACGGTTTGAGGATCATGGATGAAACCCCTTGGTCAAGTTCACCGTACTCCCCATTCTGGGATAATACACCTTTCTTTGCATTCCTGGTTCTGTGACGGTAGGTCACCATGCCGTCAAACCAAATAAAGAAGAGGGACCAGTGGGCCTGTTACTGTTTTAGGTGCCAAGCCTTCTTCAGGAATTCCAGGTTCTTGTGATCAGTGAGGACTTGGATTGGAAACCTGACATTCTCCAGAAGATGCCGCCATTCCTTGAAGGCTGCTTTGTTGGCCAGTAGCTTTTTATCAAGGATGTCATTGTTTTGTGGCACTGGTGTGAGCTTGCGCAAGTAAAAGGCTAAAGGGTGAAGCCTTAGCAAGAGGAGGAGCTGGCATTATTTTGGAAATCTCAAAACTGACCACAATCATCATTAAACTTGTCTGGAAGTGGGACCTTTGGCTCTTGGGAGGCTGGAGCCAGGGTGGATCCTGGGCTTGTAGGGCTGTTTTCTGCAGGGTGAACACTTGTGCTTGCATTGGCCCATCCACCAATTCCACCAGGGAAAAATTGGCCTGAGTGGGGTCTATGTCGGTGAGGTGGGCCTCATCTATGTATTGGGCTGTTCAAACTGTAACTGACTGGGGTCTGGGCAGTCAGGACTAATGGTTGATATAAGAGTCCAGCCTATCAGTTAGAGCTTGGTCCAGGGGAGCAGAGTCCAGGAACAAGCTGAGGGTCAGAGGGACAGAAGCCGAATGCCAGAGCTGGAGGGGGAGCCGAGGATCAGTACCAGAGAGACAGAAGCTAAGTGTCAGAGCCAGAGGGTAAACTAGACACATAAGCCAGAAGTGAAGCAGAGGATCGAAGTTGGAAGCCGGAGGGGAACAGGAGCAGGTTCAGAAACAAGGCTGGAACAGGACAGGAACTGGGAAGAAGCAGGGCCTGGAACCAGGCTGGACCAAGGTTTGGAAGCAGAAGCAGGGTAAGCACAGCTGCAGGCATGGTACATGTTGATACTCCTGGGGGCATTCTGAACCAAAAAATTAAAAATGCTGCACATAATATTTTAAAATTCTGCAAACTTCTGCAAATCTTATTTGTCAAATAAATGTGGAGCCTCCAGCATGGCATTAGGGAGCACAGGTCACTGGCTTCACAGAGGTGCAAGATCACTGTGCAGCTTCAACCCGCCACCTCTCCCCCACCCCCCCGGGACATGGACTCAGCAGAAAGGCTGCACCCAGCCCTGACAGTGCAAGGATTGGGCCTGCTCCAGAAAAACCCCAGGGCCCTGCCCTCC